AGCTTATCCGGAACAAAAAAATCAAAAAATCGGGTGACAGTAATGCTTACGTGCAATGCCAGCGGCAATAAACTTCCACCCCTGTTTATTCACAAATTTAATACTCCACGTACTCTTAAAGGAATCAATAAAGCAAGTCTACCCGTTTATTACTATTGGAGCAAAAATGCTTGGATGCAGACAAGTATATTTCAGCATTGGCTCCGTAAATTAAATGCAAAATTCTCTTGATACTTGATAATGCGTCATCGCATAAGTGGAATGAAGAAGAAGAATTAAGCAACATAGAATTGCTTTTTTTACCTCCTAACACCACAGCACATCTACAGCCTTGCGACGCTGGTATTATTTGGTCATTTAAGTCTCATTATCGCAAACTGTTTTGCATTAACCGAATTGAAACGGTTAATTCTGCACGTGCTAATCGAACGCAACCCAGTAATTTCACACTTCTTGATGCGATACAAACTGTAGCTATGGCATGGGAAAAGGTTGGAGTGAATACAATCGTAGACTGCTGGAATAAAACTGAAATTATTAACGATGAAGAAGTTAACTTCGGCGACTTCATAGACGGTTCGCTGTTGGAAGATAATGCCGCCGCTGAAATTGTTGATCTTATTCCAAAATTAGGAATCAGTGAGAGCGATTCGTTGTCAGTCAATGAATGGATCGGAATTGACTCTGCTGTTCGTGTGTCGCAAGGCACAATGCCATCCGATGAAGACATCGTTGCAACAGTCGCTGAAGATGAGAGTGACGTTGACGAAGATATTTCAACACTGTTATTATTAGCGCATCAGAGGCTCAACAACAAAACGAAATTGAAGTAAGTTTATCCTTCTTAAATGAGTTAACTAAGTTAGAAAAAAACTTAGCAGTGCAAGAAATAAGCTCAAAAAAACAAACGACGATTAATAGATTTTTTTAATCTTTGTAATGATGCTTAAGTTGTCAATTGTATCAAATTTATCCAATAAAATTGATTTTTTTTGCTATAATGACAATTGGTTGAACATTGCTTAGTTGTCGTTATAAAGTTAAACTCTCGATATAAGGACATTCTTGATATAACGACCATTTGGGTTGGAACCGAGCATGTCGTTATATCAGACGCACTTGTAGTAGTAATGCCTACTATTGATATGTTACAATCCATCCGGACTTATATGTGTTGATCGGCAGATTTACTACGAATATTATTCAAGTTGAATATCTCCCCCCATCCACATTGTCTTTAGAATAAATCTGTGACACTAGTTAATACTAATAAGAGAGCAACCTTGCTTCACACGTAAACTTAATCGCAACATGATAAGTGCTTTTTTCATTTACAATCAGAAGGGCGAAGTGCTCATCTCAAGACTTTACCGACATGATTTGAAGTAAGGCCTATATAACGTTGTCATTTGGCTCGGTCTCCTTGTCCCTTTGGACAATTAGGATTTCCTGCCACCTTTAACGCCTTACTAAGACTACATAATCTTATTATTCTCGCGAATTGAAGGCGTTCTATAGCAGACATATTTCGAATCCATGTAATATCAAACACCGACGTTCGGTCACCTATTATAACGCTTGGATCAACCTCCTTCTTCCATGTTCGACATGAGAACTTGTACATAGCAGCTGTTACCAAGTGCAATGCAAACGCAGCTCTTGTGTTCGAATTCTGCTATAGGATTATAAATATAGGGAAAAGCTATTTCGGTAAATTTGATGAAGAAAGTGTAAAGAATAATTTTGTGCTGATATATGAGCTGTTGGACGAAGTATTGGATTTTGGGTATCCACAGAACAGTGAAACTGAGACATTGAAGATGTATATTACGACCGAAGGAGTTAAATCGGAAAGAGCAGTTGTGAGTCAATACTTACATTCTAAATATCATGTGATCTAGAGCATAGCTAACATTCTCTTACTTTAGAAGGAAGATTCTTCAAAAATCACGATTCAAGCCACTGGGACTACCTCCTGGCGGCGGTCTGATATTAAATACAGAAAGAATGAAGCCTTTATAGACGTCATCGAATCGGTTAATCTGCTCATGAGTACAAAAGGTAGTCGTCTTGTGTAAAGAATAGGGCTAATGCTATTACAGAGACTGATTATTATGCACAATTTTTAGGCAACGTACTCAGGTCTGATGTTTCGGGGCAAATAATGATGAGAGCATATTTGTCCGGCACGCCAGAATGTAAATTCGGATTGAACGACAAACTAGTGTTAGACAAGGATCCAAGAATCAATAGGTAGTGTCCGTTATAGCCAACGTGGTTATGACCTTTAAGTGATGCAGGTTGTGGGGGGCGCATAAGTATGTTAACCAGTTTCCTTAATACTCTGATTTTGTTAGCCTTTCCCGGCGTGCTAATGCTGTTGAAATAGATGACTGTCAGTTTCATCAATGTGTGAAGTTGGGAAAGTTTGATTCAGACCGAACTATAAATTTCATCCCACCCGACGGTGAATTCGAGCTCATGAGGTAAACATATACAAGATTTTTATTAAAACGTGTTTCGTATATGAGGATGTGCGTCTAGTTCCCTTCATCATGCTCACAGTTTCCGACAACACGTAAAATAGATATAGGACAACGGAGAACGTTAATTTGCCATTTCGGGTTCATCCCACGGTCAATGAAATTGGAAAGTCGCGCGTAGAATATAGAATTACTGTAAAGGCCAATTTCTCTCCCAAACTATATGCAAATAATGTTGTTGTACGGATTCCTACCCCACTGAACACGGCGAATATTAATGTGAGGGTTGTTTCTGGTAAAGCAAAATATGTTCCCGCGGATAATGCTATCGTCTGGAAGTGAGTAGGTGTTTGTCGCCTTTCATATTATCTATCGTAATCTGTTCTAACATGGGAATTTCTCTCCATCTTCAAGAATACCTCGTTTCCAGGGCCAATCAGAATTCACCCTCAGTGGTGAGGCCGATCTGTCTGCTATGACGGTGAAGAAGGCTTGGTCGAGACCGCCAATCTCGATGGATTTTCAAGTTCTCATGTTTACAGCCTCTGGTTTACTTGTCAGATTCCTGAAAGTGTTTGAGAAGAGCGACTACCACAGCGTCAAATGGGTGCGATACATGACCAAGGCTGGCAGTTATCAGATAAGGGTAAGCAGCAAACAGTGCGCTTATATTTTGGCATTGCGTGGATACATAAACGTATCGAGTGCTTTTATATAAATATTAGCGGGTTGTCACTAACACATCTCTCCCGCATCTCTCCGCATCTCTCCCACACATGATCAGTTTTGAGGTCATATTTAGGGATTGTGGACGTAATAGAGTGATTCTGGAGTATAATTAATCGTTTGTGTCCCCTTATTCGTAAGAAATGAATTAATTTATTGCACATTACTGCATGGACATTCTGACATTGGGTTAGAATCCAATAAAATTTGCTAATAGCAAAACCTTATTCCAAGAGATAGTAATAGACATAGATACGCAGTAATTAGTGTTACCTCGATTTTAGTTGTTTGGAGCGTTGAATAAAAGATTGACCGCACATTGAATGCACAATTCACCAACAATGAGTCTAGTCGATTTTCACTGTATATATTAATATGTAAGGAACACAGACCGAACACACGCATTGATCTCGCAGAATTTTTTGCAGCCCACTCTGCACCCAAACAGTATAGTGAAAACAAAGATTAGATGTGAGGGAAATTTGGCCAATTAACTACACAATAACCAACATACAAAACCACAATTGGGGTGGAATATGCGCCAACAAAAAAAATTACCAAAAAGGCTACCACGTGACAATTAATATAACCTAGGCGTCAGGCTTTACGCGATTATCTATTACAATCACTCCCACATCTTGCCTTGTCGTAATGTTGGAAGGAAATTTAGGTCTGTGTGGACCGAGAAGCGATTGGGTAAGTCAACCCAATAGCCTAGTAGCAAGACAACTCCAAGACTGCGAATCCGGGCTCTACTGATTACACAATTGTGCCAACTAAACAGGGACCTTTCACTGAAGACGGCCTTGACCTTACCCCATGTGCGAGAGAAGTGTAAGTTCCTGACTAAAGGGTGCGCAATACAACAGGCGTTTTTCATGTTAAATTGGGTAGAATATATCCCATTATGTTCTACAGTTTTTTCGCCTAAACAAACCACACACACAAACTCTCGCTTGCCAGTATACTGAATGCCACCATTCCACTGACGGCCGTAATCGCATCCATAACGGGTCTTTTTCTACGATATCTTTGTCGAAGGCCGAGAGAAGAACATCCCTACCAGCTCATATCGCCAATAAGTATAGATTTCGATGATCAAGATACGATTGAACCTGTAACGATCACCAAATATGATGTGTCTCAGTTCATCATATCCTTCATTCATCTGGCGTTTGTGGGGTTTCTTTTCGGTTGGAGATTTGACGAGTATTTCGAAACGCACGACTATGGATTATATTGGGTTATAGGCGCTGTCGGTTTATTTATTTCTTGGGTAAGACGATCAGTATGAGTTGATCATATGCAGATCTATACTTGAATTGTTGTTCTATTTCATTCATTTCTCAAACAATATACCGTTCCCTATTTATACAGTTTTACATAGGGGCTCTAAACGCATGCCACTTGATAACACGGCAAAAACAGTCGCAATATGCTTACATTAAGCATTTGTCTGCGCTGTATGCACTTTATGCAGTAGCAGCTGCGGTAAATCTTAGATCCGTGTTGAAAAATAGCGACAGGGAATACGAATTAGTATTCGGTATATGCAATGCCGCTGCAGGTCTCGTCTTGTTCGCATTATCTCTGTCAAGACCACGCCATCCTGAATTAAGAGACGGAGTGGTGTCGCACGATACAACAGCATCACAATGGTCACTTCTTTCGTTTTCATGGATGACTTTATTGATTAAATTGGGGAATGCGCGAGAGCTATCTGAGGCTGATCTATGGGATCTTCCAAGAAAGTGTGAGGCTGTTCGATGCTATCAAGAACTTCTGGGGTAAGTTTTAGTAATTCTCTAAACTGTATGTTGATTCTAAAATTGAATTTGAAATATAACATGAGTTATTATTGCAAACAGAATGGCTAATATGGACGTTCTATCGCGTTTGTTCGCTACAAATGCTAAAAACTTGATACGCTTTTTCATTATTGCAATATTTCGTTCAATATTTGCGTTCACTACGCCCTTTTTTCTTCAACGTTTGCTAGAATACATGCAGACTGCGGATCGGTCTCAAAAGCCATCTGAAGAACCTTATCTTTATATATTTGGAATATTGGTATCTGAAATAGCAAGAATTATCTTATTGAACCAACTAAATTATCAGGTAGTTTGGCTCGGAACACGCGTGGAGCAGATGCTAAGCGTACTTCTGTATGAGAAACAACTACGCTCAATGACTGCACCGTATCGAGGCAGTATGAGACCCAGCGTTCTCAATGTAGACGTCGACGATGTAGCGGGGTTTTTTTCAAATCTTCCCTTCCTTCTCACTATTCCATTGGAAATCATTGTCGCTACCTTCTATCTATATTGCCTGTTGGGAGTATCGGGGCTGTTTGGTGTTCTTATTATGATCCTTTGTCTTTGGGCTAACAGAAAGATAGGAAAGCGTGTCAGTCGCCTGCAAAAACGAGTTAAGAAAGCACGCGATGAACGAGTAAGCGAAATATTCGAGGTATCCATTGTATATTGGCATCAGTCTATGGTGGTTCATCCTAGTCCTACTCATTAACAGACTTTTATCTCGCCTGACAAAAGTTTCTTCACGCAGTTCGAATGATCAGAATGATAGCTGGAGAACGCAATTTTTACGAAAAACTTATGCGTAATTTGACTTTTATTTGTGCTAAAAACTTTTCAGTTATTTTAGAGTTGATCGCAGTTACTTACTTAATAATATCTATTAGAATCTCGCAAAATTGAACTCAAGCATCTCCGGAGTCTCTTCCGACGTATTGCCGTTGTCAATATTTTGGTCCATATTACGCCATTCCTTGTGACACTATTTGCTTTTGCTGTATACACCTTTACATTTGGTGGATCTTTAACGGCAGCAATCGCTTTCACTAGTATAATGCTTTTCAATACACTGAAGCAACCCCTTCAGATTCTACCGAATTTAATAACAGAACTGTGCGGGCTCGGCGTTGCTGTTGGACGAGTAGAACGTTTTCTTAATGAACCGGATGTGCCAAGAGACTCTCCGGTTTCTAGCGATTCTACAAATATGATAAGGGTAGGCTTTGACGGCGCTGACGTTGCATGGTACACCCGCGGGCCGATAGACTTTATTTTGAAAAATTTAACCATAGAGTTCCCTATTGGCAAACTGAGTCTTTTATGTATGTATTATTGAAACTCGTTGTTACAAATAATGTTTTCTTCTACAAGTCTGATTGACAACGTCTAATCATTGTCAAATCAGGTGGTCACAAAGGTTCTGGAAAGAGCATGGTGCTGTTATCTCTACTCAGAGAAACAATTTTGTTGCAAGGCACGATCCAATCCCCGCTGGGTTCAATTGCTTATATCCCACAACGGCCGTGGCTTGAGAACGGAACAATACGAGATAACATATTATTTGGGGAGGCTTATCGTCGTGAAGATTATTTGAAAGTTGTTAGTGCTTGTTGATTGGCCGGAGAATTCGAAAATATGGCCCAGTCTGACATGACCGAGGTATGATCAGTCTGGTCTAATTGTGATGAAGGTTTTCATTGCTATGGTTAAGTTGACAAAATGATTATTTGACATTATTAGTATGGCGGGGAAAACGTCGTCCTGACAGAGACTCAGAAAGCGTGTGTTACACTAGCCCGTGGATTCTACAGCTCCGCCCGTGTATTACTTTTGGACGATTGCTTGTCGTCCGTCGACGCTCCCAAAGGTATGCTCTTTTCATTTATCAATACCAAATGATGAGTAATTCTAATTTCTTGTTTGCAATCATAATAATAGCACGGCTGATACTCGAGAATTGTCGTGATCAGGGATTCTTTAATGGACGTACAGTTATTGCCGTGTCTCAATATGCTAGACTACTGTTGAGCTCTGCCGAGTACATGGTTGTGCTGGGTGATGGCACGGTTCTGACAAAAGGCACACCGGACGAGGTTAAAAATTCCGGCGCATTAAGTGAAGAGATGCTTGGTGTAGAAGAAGATCTTAACAATGAAATGATAGACAGACCCGTCACCGAAACGAGGAATTGGGCATCCGATGAAGGTATGACATTTTGATTGTACAAGGATAACTGTAAATATACTTATTAGAAATATTATCATTTCTTTGTCATATATTGAAGTGCGTACGCATGGATTTGTTCGGCCACGTGTTTATTGGTTCTACATGAAATCAAGCGGCGGTGTGATTATATGGCTGGCTTTAGTGCTTTTATTCGGAATTATTCGGTCTTTAACAGTTGGAGAGACTTACTTACTAAAAGTATGGTCGGATGCGTTTGATGCTCCGAATACTAGTGTTAACATGACGCATGGCCAGTTAGCCGGTGAAACGGAGACAAAGCCATATGTAGATAATTTATACTATCTACGAATTTATGCCGTTATTGCTTTGGTATCGGCTTCTGTTACTATCGCTCGTATGATATGTCAGTCTTGTATATCATTGAAAGGTTCTAAAAGGCTCTTTACTAGGCCGCTCAATGCCATATTAAGAGCACCGTTAAGCTTCTTTGATACGGCGCCATTAGGAAGAATCATGAACAGATTTTCCAAAGACCTTGGACTGGTCGATCAAGGAATAGTGACAGTCATGGCTAATTTCTTGGGAAATTTGGTGGGTGCTATAAGCGTCTTATTGGTCGTAACAGCTGTCGTCAAGGAGTATTCGTTGGTATCAGTCATAATTGGTCAGTAGTTTAATTCTATTTCTAAAAATTTTTCTCCATATCTATATTAACGTTGTTATCTCTTCAACAGCCATATGTTACATACGTATCGGTACTATGTACATAAACGCGTCAAGAGAGTTAAAACAATTGCAAAGTAAGACAAGAACTGTTGTTACATCTTGGTTCAGTGATACTGCTAGGTAAGACGTCTTTTCATTCGGTTAAGTAGTATTCGAATGAAGTGCGCTTACTTTAATGTTTTTTTTTCCTAGTGGCATTACTGTTATTCGAGCATACAACCATGAACGTCATTTCGCTAGTGTTTTTGTTGAAAGGTAGAGTTGAGTTGCCTTTGTTTATATTGGACGCAAATTCAACCAAATTTAATTTCGTCATTTCCATGCTATCTTTGTTAAACCATAGGCTTAACACAGCAAACCGGACAACATATCTGTTGCATATGTCTAACAGATGGATGTCGGTCCGAATGGGATGTATCGGTGCTGTTGCATCGTACTTAGCAGGCGTGTTTATTCTGTGGCACTTTGATAGAATCAACGCTGGCCTTGCTGGTTTTGCTTTAAGCTATGCATTGGGTTTCGTACAGATAGTCTTTGTGAGTATTACAAATGCATAAATTGATGTCGTGTATACTGGTAGAAATATCAGAATTTAATATGATCTATTCGACACCCTGATTTGTCGTATAGTTACTCGTTAAGGACTTCATAACAATGGAAACTGGTTTGAATAGGTAAGTAATACGACTGCAAGCTAAGATTGATGGTGATCATCTAATAACAGCGAACGTTTATTAGCGTTGAACGTATTGAGGAATATATTGATATGCCGCAGGAACCTCCAGCAATTATTGACAGTCAGCATCCTCCAAATGCTGTAAGTTACAGTATAAACCAATTTTTAATTAGCTATTTAAGTCTTATAAATCTATTACTGAATTTTAGTGGCCAACAAGAGGAAACATTGAAGTCACCAAACTGGTTGTCAAGTATTCGGAAGCAAACTCTAAGCCAGCTCTCAATAACATTACATTTTCAGTCGACTCTGAGGAGAAAATAGGGATTGTTGGAAGGTATACAATACAAGTTTATGCTGCATTTTATCTTATTAGTTAAATTTAGATTGTCTTTTAGTCTATCTGGTCATAACCAATATAACTAATTGGCTGGTGTTTTTACAGGACAGGTTCCGGTAAAACTACGCTTGCGAATTCTTTCCTGAGACTTATAGAGCCTTCGGACGGTGCCATTGTCATTGATGGTATCAACATTGCTGACATTGGGCTAGAAGACCTTAGGTCACGTATAACACTGATAAACGAAGGTAACAGTTAGAATACTTGTGTGCAGAAACTACTGAATCACCATAGATCTGTTAATCATTGCTTACGTCCATGTAGATCCTATATTGTTTGAAGGGACAATACGTTCTAATCTCGATATTTGTAATATGTACAATGACCATGAATTATGGGAATCTCTTCGAAGAGTAAATTTCATATCGATTGAAGAGAATCCAGCCAGTGACCAAGGTGGTATTTTAGTTGGACCAATCAAAAGTCTAGACGATCCGGTTAATGAAGGTGGAAGCAATTTTTCAAGAGGACACAGACAGCTCCTGTGTTTAGCAAGAGCTTTATTGAGACAGGCAAAGGTAATAATTTAGATTATATTGCTTGGGTTGATACTGTCCACTAACCTAACGACTCTTCAACGTCATTGAATCATTATCATTATCGTAGATAATTGTAATGGACGAAGGTAATTATTTGTCTTACTATCTTTACCTCTTAATCTGATCCGAAAATGACGAATCTTTATCACTTGGTAGCAATGGCTAGTATTGATCCAGAGATGGCGAACAAAATACAAGAGATAATTCGTAATGAATTTCATCACGCAACAGTTTTATGCATCAGTCATCGATTTCGAACTGTGATTGATTCAGACAGAATGCTCGTTCTCGGTACGTATTTTTATTTGATGGAAATGAAAGTTTTCACAACCATGATGCTTAACATGTCTATTCGATTATTTTTCATAGACGATGGAGAGATAGCTGAATACGACACACCATATAATCTCATAATGGATCCAAAAAGTCTTTTTCATTATTTATGCGAACAGACTGGCGAGTTAGATTCACTAACAGAGCTTGTCAAATTGAATCATCCCGAATTCGATATTCTGGAAGAAGATCAAGAGGATGAAGCTGAGGAAGCTGAGGACGAAGAGGAGGAGGAGGTAGAGGCAGAGAACGCAGGCTCATCGGAGGAGGAACAATACAACGAAAATAGTCAGGAAGAAGAACTTGAATATGAAGATGATGTAGAAGAACATGACAGTCTTGAGCAAGAAAGTCAGGGAGATCACTTATCGTCGAATGAAAGGACGCTAAGTGATGAAGCAACAGAAGATCAGGAATAGCCGTTAACATGATTGGTGACAGAAGTTGGTGTGATCAAATGTATTTTTTGTTCTGTCGTGTCAGTAACCTTGTACAAAATGTGTCATAATTAATGAGGAAAACTTTTGTTGCGTGCTAGTGTAGTATAACAAATGATCAATTCCAGTAGATTGTCATTAGATTAATAATAACTTATCTTTCATGTAAATCCAATATCATTGCCAAATTGTTTCTCTAAATCAATATATCTCATCAAACGGTTGTGTATCTCTAAAACAGCTTTCAAACACTTCAGCCACTGATCGCTCAGCTATGCCTGGAGCTGAACAATGGGCACTTTGGGAGACCGAAAGTATGGCACGTCGTTTTACACAAGTCTATTCAAACAGGTTGCATTAGAGTTATCAAGTATTCTTGTAGCAGGAATAATAGTCATGATTTTTACCTGATGCTGCTTTGTAAAAGTAAAGAATCCTCTACGTATTTCTCTCGTCCATCCACAATCTCCACTAAGACTTGCTGCACGGACCTAATTCGTTTAAAAATATTATTTCACTACATGTTAAATCTCACGAAATCTGCTTGGATAAGACATTACCTCGCTACAAGCATGATGCAAACAGTTAGTCCAATCAATTTTGAATCTACAATGATCATACAAATGGACCATTTCGTGCACCATTGTAATCTCTTGATGCCTTTTGGATAAGAATCGATTCTGACAGAGAAGGATCCCAAATTCAGGTGAAAATCCACCAGAACGAGTAGCATCACATGGATGGCATTCAAAATGCTTTTTAGATATCTTACAACCAGCTTTCTCTATATTTTGAAGCATGAAAATCACTGTCGGGCCTGAATGTTTGTGGACAGAATATCAGAATTATTATTAAACACATTAGATATCGACATCACAATAATAGGCAATAACGATTTACACTACCTGAACAAAAATCTTTGATTACAAATTTAAAATAAAGCGAAATAGAATTAATTAAAATTTATCTTATTGACTATGATGCAGAAATAAGCTTTGATTTCTGGAATACTCTCGACAAATTTATTTAGTTAATTACTTGGACTATTCTTCTATCACCAAGTTGTCAAAAGAAATTTCGCTAGGTTGCTTTTCTCTCCCAAATTTTACTAAGATCGAAATACCGAAAATCAGTTAATCCATAAACGACACATCTCCTTTCGGACAACCTCCAGTCTTAAGACAGAGCCAGTTGCCATTTGCAATAGTTCGATGAATAAATGGCAGAAAAATAGTAATTGACGACCATCGGTTGAGTTTCGGTCATCAAAGACTGGACATATCCGAAAATGTTGACAGCAAACACGTCCTTTGTAAATTAACAGATTTTCAGCATTTCGATTCAATTCGATTAATTTTGCCAATCCAAATTTAAATCTTTGAATTCATCATTCTTCGATCGATGGCCTTGCGTAATCAAATGTTTTTGTTCAGATTAGCATATCTATTTCGGCAAAGAACAAGTACTGACTAGATCTCATTAATTCATCTCTCCATTTTTTGCATTTTCTGCACTGGGACGCTTCTAATTCTCCCGCTTTTTTTTGGCGGTATAGTTCTTTTTCCTGTTCGGTTAGTCCAAGACCTGTGATGTATTTTAAACTCCTACACCATCGTTCAAATTTCAACGCATCACGATCGATAGCATTGTCATTTGTTGTCGTTTCTTCCGTTCTAACAGACGAGTTCGACATTGTCAAAAAAAATGTGTTGATCATATGCGTACAGATGAGATGAGATTGTGGCAAGTCACATGGTCTGGTACAAGATATTAATTTTGTATTGTAAATAGAGATACTAATACATCGAACAAATATTAATCTCTTGGAACCCTTTAATTTGCAATCGTCCAGTTGGCACCATACATAATTAAAATATAAAATAAGTTTGTACTGACATTCCGTTGATTAAATTATTTCGATTTCTGGCATTTCTATGCTTATATTTGGTCTTGTTAAATTTGGGCAGAATTGCCCTCCCGGGGTTTACAATATTAGTACGGTAGTTATCATATTAAAAGAAGCCATCATCAAAAGACTAATTAAATATCAATTACAGTTGAGGAAATAACGCAATTATAATAGTTTACTAGCTGTAGCATTAGATCTAAATCTCTTCATTTTTGCAGAAGTCACATTGACTTATTAACAGAATCACGTGATCTTACTGCGGCATTAAAAAACGTAAACGCAACTGCCCTGTTTGTTACGGTCGGTTGACCGATATGCCTTTTGGTCAGGTAAGACAATTCTTTTACATGCCACTAATTAGTAACATACGCTGACCATAATTATAAAGATAGTTATTGGGCCTCCAGGTAAGATATGCTCTCTTATAATAACGGAAATTTCCAACGGAATTAACAACGATAAATCAAACAAGGACAGGCTCCGGGAAGACCACTTATTGTCATGGCATGCAGCAATTCTTTAATGCTACTGGACGGTGGGATCTACCGCATACGTGATATGGTTATGTATTTGGCAAGTTTGGCGTGCTTCTTTTGACCTTTAAGATTTTTAATACAATAGAAAAGTCTCCGTGATAAATCTTGATCCGGCCAATGATCATGTTCCCTACGATTGTGCAGTGAATGTCTCTGATCTTATTACTCTTGAGGAATCAATGGATGAACTTAAACTCGGTCCTAATGGTGGTATTATGTACTGTATGGAGTTTCTGGAGAAGAATTTTGATTGGCTCGAGGACGAACTGAAAGCTCTTGGAGGTACGTGGCAGATAGCGATAACCGGACAACAAGAATGGAGCTTTTACAAGATACACTGAACTACTTTGTTTCGTGTATGCAGACGATTACGTATTGTTTGATTTGCCGGGCCAAGTTGAATTGTTCACTCATCATGATTCAGTCAAGAATATTATTGAAAAATTGGTCAAGCTGGACTATAGAGTGAGCATTTACATTAATGATTATGCTTGTTTGATTAGATATTCGTGTGTTCACTAAGTTTTGCCTGATTTATCCCAGCTGGTAACTGTGCATTTAGTAGATGCGCATTACTGTACAGATGCGACCAAGTATATTGCCATGTTATTATTGTCATTAAAGACAATGATACAGATTGAATTGCCTCATGTGAATGTATTATCCAAAGTTGATCTGATAGAGTCATATGGGGAACTTGGTGAATATCATTATATACAATCCAATTAATGATTGAAATTCAAATAGCAGTAGACTATAAAAACTAGATTTCCGTTATGACATTTCTCATTAATTTCTCAATTCGTATCAGCATTCAATCTGGACTTTTACACAGAAGTTCAAGATCTGTCATATCTGCTGGGTCAATTGGATGATAGTCCATTCGGACAAAAATTCAAAGACCTTAACAGGGCCTTATGCAACCTTGTTGAAGACTTTTCACTTGTTGCATTCTATACACTTTGTATAGAGGTAAGGGGAAAGCATAATTTTATCTAGTCGGTACTCTTTTTGCAGATTCAATTGTTGACTAATTATTATCGATCATTTCTACAAGGACAAGAAATCAGTGCTTGAATTAGTGAAGGTAATAGACCGTGCCAATGGATACGTCTTTGGAGGTCAGTTACATGGAGATGAAAACCTCATATTTTCCGCCACAATTAGTGATCATGGATTCATGAGCGATATCATGGAAATACAAGAGAAATGGACTGATTCAGGACATGGAGCAGAATACATAGAAAATTCTGCCGATTCATAAGAGAAATAAAGATGACAGCATTGCCTTGATGCTGCACTCTATGGTCGTTCAATCCATGGGCATGGACTTTTGAGTTAACATTGTGCACACCTTGGAGTAAAAGTTCGCATTTCACGTATGTCTGCCAGATGTCTGAAAAACGAAAAGCGAAGTTCACTGCGGATATCAATTTTCATAGTTATATGAATTAGTAAGGCAGACAATTCAAGATTCGTACATTGACCTTACTACCAATTAAAAGAATATAGCATCTTCCACGTGTCTTCCTTCATCGCCACTCCTCTGCTATTTAATTAAAAACGCACGTTTCGGCGGTTCTTCCCTCCAATCTTTGACAAAGCGTCTATTGTGAATTGGGTTTATTTACGCGCAAAATTGATCCTTATTGTGCTACATATATTGAATCGACTTGCCAACAACTGCATACTATCAATCTTCTCTGTTAATCATACCCTCAAACCGGACTTCCCATTCGTCTCAACATGAACTCGAATAGCGTTTAATTTGCATTGTATTAAGTATCTTGTGGCCACTTGTACTACATAATATCAAATCATGTGATCCGATTAACATTTCAACGCGTGTGGCGTGTTAGCCACCACCGAACTTTTATCTAATTTATCTGGTATAGGATGGAAAATCCGCACGAAGAGCAACAAAACTCTCTGCTTAGCAGAATTGTATCTAACATTGTGAGTAAAACATCAATATTCCAAATACAGCCAAAGTATGTCACGCTTATACGAAACTTTGTTATAGCAAAAGCTCAACGACGTGTTAGAGGACGTAAACGATCGAATGGACGTAAGTACAATAACTGTCAGCGTAATGTCCAGTATTTGCAGAGGAAGCTGACAGTGGGACAATTATTGCAGGAAATCAATCAATACAACGAGAAAATTGGAGTGTTGTCCCAAGTATGGGCAAACTATAGTAGAAATGTTATGTTTAATCTACAAAGCATCAAAAAACTGGATGATCCAATCTAAACGAGACTTTCAGCTCTATATTACCGTGACATTATGAGCCATTTGCAATGGCATTGTAAAACTGTTTATAATAAGACAAGCATATAGTTACTATTATCGTCACATCGGAAGTACAAGTATGTTTTTTCTTAACCAACGAGAAACTTCAACTTGGTTGAATGATTTCACACATGATAATGGTCGAGTCCATGAACCTTTTTCTAACAGCCGTGCTGTGAAATTTGATTATGTAGCTAGTGGAAATAACATAATTATGTTATTTCCACTTAGTTTAGGTTATTCCCACTCAGATGTCATGACGACAGAAATGCGACACCATCGTCAGTGTTGTGATGTATATTTTATGACACATTCCCGACGTCAGGATTGCGACACTGTCGTCAGTATTGTGTTTTGATATATATTTTATGACACATTTTCGACGACAGAAATGTGATACCGTCGTCAGTGTTTTTGGTTAATTTCAAACCTAAGATATTCCCCGAGTTAGGATATGCGACCTAGGTGTGCCCCTTCTATATTGAGTTCTAATTCCTTTAGAAACCTAAATTCGATAATGTTATTTGTATGCCAGTTTGACGATCGTGGCTAATTTCTGCGTTGGGCAAGTGGTCTGGTTGTTTTCCGTCATCAGATTACATATTAGTATACAAAGTAACTAATTTAGATCAAGGTAACTCTGGTCAATTTCCGCTTAACCCCTAGCCGGAATAAGTGCTAATGCAGGCTCAGAACTTCAATACAACGCATAAATATTTATTGCATAACAGATTTTTACAGTTCTGAAAATGAATTTTTCGCTCGTTCTAGTAGATTATTCATCATCAATGCATCATCTATTGCTTCGTCTACATTGCTCAAATCATCATAGGTTGCGTTTTCACTATTTTCGTCGATAGATCTGATTCCTTCGTCATGCTTGTATCAGTGCACCAACGTTTTTCTTAATCTCATCCTGAAGGTGTTCCAAGCATATAGAACATTTGAATTGACATTCATCATTGCAGGCAATGACTATGATAAACATGCCCGCATGCCAGAACGATGCCATTGCTTACATCGCTCATCTGATCGCAATACTGTATATGAATCACATAGAATAGACGTATCAGGTTTTCTGGAAGTAACAAAACGCCGAGGAAGATGACAATCTATTTTGTAACCTAGAGAAGGCAGTTCATATGAGTTAATACAATCGGAAGACGTTTCAATAATAAACGGATACTGATGCGTGTTTGATATATCTTTCCGAACGCCTCCAAAAGCCAATCCCTCATTACTTGTTCCTACTGAATCTAAATAATACGTAAGAGCAAATTTAAACGAGTTAATCTTTGTATTGTTCAATGAAGCAAGTAAGTAACAAACGAAAACCATTATTTTCTCCATATACGATCCATTGTCTGTTTCTTACGTTCGAATGGTCGAGCTGCTGAATAAAGCTGTGTAAAGAAGTCTTTTAAATCGGTTCACTCGCTTCTAGTAAAGTTTGCATTTCGTCAAAAGTGTAAATGGACCTTCGTTCTTCACACATTCCCTTTCATAAAGAATTTTTGCCATCACCCCCATGGCATCAGCAAGTTCGAGCTTTGAAGTTTCCTCTTCCTAATTGGCAACTTTTGCTCGCTTAGAGCCTCTTCTTAAGGGATTCTCTACAAAATTCATATAACATGTATTGCACAAAACGACTCTTCCTCCATTTCTCATCATTCAACGAACGGAATTTGGTTGATTCAGTGGACTGGCACTCTGTGCAACGCTTGTTACCTGACATTTTCGCTAAGTAATATTGGTAAAGAGCTGTGGGATTCAAAGTTCACAGAATAATTGCATTCTATGGTGCAAAAGCTTCAGCATTCCAAACACATTTTACTACGCGGGTTTGACTAGCAAGTCTTCAAAAAGGTACTATAAAATGTATAAAAACCAATTCCAATGAATCGTGTAACAATTGCCTTATTTGGGGGCGGTCCTGCTTGACAATAAATATCGGATCAGCCACATGTGGGTATTATTCATTTTGTTACCATTCACCGTTCGTCATATTTCGTCTGTTATAATATTACTCACCGTTCGTCATAATAAGGAACCAAAATGACTACTGGTCATCATGTAAAAAGGTCGTTATTTATATTTTTACTGAAAAAATTACTTGTAAACATTGCGTCTAACTCCCGATTTTCGCTATTAGATATACCGAAATTATGCTAGGTTGTATCCTTTTAGGCGAAAAGAACGCATTTCCTGTTGATTTCGATACAGGCAAGACCATTGGACATCTCAAGGGAGCCATTAAGAAGAAGAAAAGTGTGGCCCTTAGCAATACTGACGCAAACTCTCTGATATTATGGCGAGTTAATATTCCTGAAAATGAGATACATGAGATATATGAGGGGATCAACATCAAAGAAAAGTTTGAAGGTGAGAAATTGACCAGCAATCTCAAACCTATTGGACAAGTTTTCAAAGGACAACCTCCTAGTGAGCACATCCACATTATTGTGGAGTTGCCTGCCACCACTGGTAAGTGTCTCCTAATGGTTTAGTTTGATATCCTAGAATAAGCTTTGTCAACATAATTGCTTATAATAATAAAAAAAATTTTTTCGCATTAGCAGGTTCTTCCCAGAAAGTCCATATGAAAGGTACAGTATCTCCAGTTAAATCACTTGAGTTGGAACAGTGCCAGAAAAAAATCTCTAACAAATTCATCTGCTTTAGGGCCTGACTGGAATGATCCTTCTTCTATCTATGCATGGATACAAACATTTTCATTGAATCGTGGCCGAAACCGAGTATGTCTGTCCAGCTTTGTCATTTCCTTCAAATATTAATATGTGTTTCTTAGTATTAGCTCCTTGGACTAAAATCAAATTGACCTCTTCAGCTTGTTAAAACATTCGGTTGGAACTTTGAGCTTTTTCAGCGAGATGACACTATTAATATGCTCTGGAATGGGGATCAGTCAACAGGGCTAAATGGGGTTTTGGGCCGATTTGAAGTCCGTGATCAAAGTGACAAAGGCTTTCATCCAATCCCCGTTTTAGCTGGCGGTCCTGGAACTGGAAAGAGCAGATTTCTCGATGAGATTGAAAAATTGCTCAAGGAATATGCTGAGAAATGCAATGATGAAGAAATCCGTAATGCTTTTGCCAACATGACTGTCATCAACACAACATATGGGAATGGATCCCCTGCTGGAGATATGGATATAACACTTGGCACTGAGGCATCTCTTGCAATACGAATTTTATTCGAGTACTTCCGACCTCAACATAACTTTAGTGAATTTGATTTTCCTAGCTTCCGCTCATACTGCAATCAATCAAACATTTCGAGTTTTACCCTGAGCACTGCCCTTCAAGTTATCTATGCTGACAAGATGGAAATGAAACAAGCAACAGTCTCTCATCCTCTATTGGTTGTGGTAGTTGGAATTGATGAGTTCAACAAATTGTATGATGTAGACCAACAAACCTCAAAGAAACTCATAAACTCCATTGGAGGAACGATGTGTAGAGCACCTGGGAACATTTTTTTCATTCCCATCCTGGCTGGGACCATTGAAGGACCTTTAGAAGAATATATCTCAGGTTCTATGCACCAACCACTTCCCCTTCCGTTAGACCTCCTTCAAGAGAGTGATGCAATCAAGATTGGCAAGACTATAAATCTATTTGGTGATGATTATGTCAAGACCCATCCTTATTTTAGAGTTGGTATTGGTGACATTGGAGGTCACGTGAGAACTTTGGAGTATTTCTACAAAATCTTTTCACAAGAGTTGGCAGAACAAGGAAAAGATCCTTACCAAGTTAAAATTGAGAACATTATGAAGTTCGTCAAAAATTTTATCAAATCCACATATCGCATACAGTTTCGCTCACAGTGGTTAACAGAACCTCTTGTGAAAGCCATATTGGGCCTGCCAGTTGACAAATATGACAAAATCACAGTTGACAATGTATCAATGAGCTATCAGGAACTCAGTTCAATGGGAATTGTGAATCTGGTACCACAAGCTACAGGTGACTACTATATTAGGTTACCTTATGTTTGGGCAAGTGTACTTGCTGAATGCTCCAAAAATCCTGGGATGAAGTATTGGCAATCCATGTTTGAGTATGATGAGCCAATGTTCTGGCAGAACTTTGAGAATTTCAATGCCAAATTCTGGGCATTACGCCTCAGTCTCTTTAAATTATTAGGATGCAAGACAATCCAGTTGAAGGAACTTCTTAAAGGTGCAACATTTTCTAACAAATTTCCAGATGTTGAAGTTGTCCTTCCTGAAGATATCAAATTGTATAAATTGCAACATCGGTATCCAGGTATTGCACCTTACAGATTTTCTTGTAATATAAAAACCACATCAAAACTCAAACACTGATCTTTTATAATTTCAGTTACCAAAACTAACCAGAATAAAGAAGTGAAATATGACAGCAATGTGGAAGTGAGACATGGCTATATCACACTTGATTATTTGAAGAATGATTGTATTGATGAATATATGGGTCACGTGTTCTTAAATGCACCAGGGGCACCCTTTGATGTCTTTGGATTTTTTGATATTGAAAAACACAAACACAAAACTTTATTCCTGGGTAAGCAAGTCAAACTATCAGATACTGAGGCAGTTACACCAATGATCATTGACCAAAAATTATTCAATGAGGAGCATCGCAAGGTAATACTGCTTCATCAATATTGGATATGCATATGCATTATTTAATTGTTGGTTCATATATAAGGTCACCAAAGCTATAAAGGATGTTCCAGTGGAAAATTGGGCTCTACTATTTCTAACAAATGCAGATACGAAAGCTGACCTGAAGATAGGGAGTAAAAAAAACAGTGCATTGGTATCTAGGGAACAATTTCAAGAGTTCTATGGATACACATATGCCAGCCGAGCACAATTTGCATCTGGTGCGTTTGTTAATTGAAGTCCCTTTTTTGAATTGCAGTACTGGCTGATATGTGTTCTCTTTCTTTTGTATAGCAAATGAAAGGATATATATAAATTCAATAGCCCCTGAGTCACTTAGGATAATTGGCCTCACTGAGAGTGAGAGTCATATGATATACAAGAAACGCAAAGAAAGTCCCCTCCACAGTTTGGATGATTTAAAGGATATGATTGGTGATGAGAAATTTAAAAAGTTAAAGCTTGATAGTATTATATTTTAGGTGGAGCTAAACTAATAAAAATCATTGGAGTAATGGGCATTTAAAGGGAGGAAGCATCTCAAGCCCTAATACTAACCCATAAATGAGAGTTTCCTTCCTGCTACTCCATACTATATAAAAATATCCTCTTGTTTTGATAACCATGAATTTCTATTTGAACAATTCATCGATTTCTTCCCAGAGTTTGAAAATGTTACCAGTGCCAGATCCATCTCAAATTTCACAAATGTCATAACCAAGAAGTTTTACGGTTTCAGATAAACCAGAGATAATTTTTTGTTGTGCAGACATAATTTAGAAAAAAATTTTTTTTCAGGTATGTTAGATCACAGGTAGTTTTGCGTAATTTATTAGTATGATTTATTGCTAGTGAAGCTAAAGGTGAATCTACATCCCTTTTATACATTTTACAGTCAGTTCCACAGCAAGGACCCCAAAAGAATCACCCATTAATGCTAGTATAATTAGAAGAAAGAACCCGCGTCGAAATACAGGCCTCATAACTTACCCCTATTTCTGAAAAAAGAAAATTATCAAGATCCTGTCCGGCGCTGTACCTAATACTAAAGACGAAAAAAGTTAGTGCATCCCATATCTACAACATGTTTAACAATAATTAAATGCTTGGCCATGAGGCCTTACGCAAGAGAAAGGTGAAATGTTCGTTACACAGTGGCTCTCTTTATAGTGTACCTCCTTTATAGTGGAGACTAATTAAAATCGCGATATAGTGGATAAAGGTTCAAAACCATGCTATCTGATATGGGAGGCGACAATCATTTCACCGACAAATATTTACCAACATTATTTCGAATTTATTCTTTTTAGTAGTTAATTGTCGGTGAAATGTACTGTCGGGAACGAAATAATACGGACCCATCCGATATAGTATATTTACTAATAAATTTTCAAAAACTCTCGATATAGTGTATTTTTGAGAATTTTTTACTAGTAGATTTTTTTGATGCACTATAAAGAGAGTCACTGTGTATATAACTTTGCTATTATTTAGGTACAGTATATGAATAAGCTATATTAATTTACCGTGCGTTCTTTACTAAGCTCGTGTTAGATTTTAGAAAACACTTCATTATACGATTGAACATTAAAGGTATTCCTGTATTAAAAAGAATGGATTAAGACAGGTTTTGGCTGAATGGTTTTACATTTGGTTGGCATTGTTCTCAAAACTTAGCTCTAAGACATAGCTATTTTTAAAAGGTAATTCTTTATACCCTTAATTTTTAAACTACTTAAATAAAAAATGCATACACCAATAATTGACTTACAGCCAGAACTAATTTCTGTAGCAACACTCTTAGTCGAAGAATATGTTAATTATATAGTATCATAATAGGAAATTTTCTTAAAGAATGGATTTGTTTAACAATTCTGATCATAATGCATTGTGTGTCTGTTACACTGTTTTCATAGACGCGACTTCAGTCATCGATATTCACTTCTAACCACTGGCAATACTAATAATAAGTTGGTATATCAATCGTTGATTGCAATCGTTCTAATAAGTTAGAAATTGCATTACTACCATAAAGGGGGTTAATTCATCACATGATGAAGAATTAGATAATCATCATCTTGTACCTCGATGGGTTTATGAAGCTTTTCTTCACCCGAAATTTATGTCCGCTGACCATCCCACGGCCACATCGCAAGCTGCCTCCTCATCCAACTCTCCGCCTTCAACCTTCTTAGCGCTTCTCAATGATAATGATGACGACCACATAGCCAATCTTCTCGCCGAAACAGTCCCACATCTCACACAAACTGCCATTACTGATCTTGAAAATGTACCAGAATTCTCGGGACCATCTGCGCCACCATTGATGCCGTTTGATGGAAGCAGATCGGAGGACGGAGAAGAGTTGTTACTTGATCCAGAAGATTGGGATGAGAGGAGGCACGGGGAAGTAATGTGGTTTACGGACGAAGAAATGGATGGCGGAGAAGAAGCTGATGAAGAAGCTGATGAAGGAGATGCAGAAGCTGAAGGCATGGAAGTGGGGAGTAGTAGTGAAGAATGCGAGGATGATGAAATGCTTCCTTCTTTTGGGTGAGTTTCATATATGTTATAATCTTTTCTTTTCTTTTTTTTTTTTTTTTTTTTGGATTAGCTCGATGTTTTGTAATTCTATACGATTATAACACGTAATTTTGTCGTAGGCGACTTTTGGCGGAGGCCGAATCAGCGCGAACGGTACTAGACGCCGAAGGGTCTATGCCGAGCTTCTTTGCTGGTAGCGAGGAGGAATGGCGTCAATTTACCATCGATCTTCGGCTTACTAGCGGCGTTGGTAAAATCCGCCGGACTGTAAGTGTATTTTGTTACATATGGATTTCGCATAACTTTATTACTCGATTCCATTTGTTCAATTTTCTGTTATGAACACTTCTTACTTATGGTGCATGTACATTCATTATCGCCTATCGCACTTTTTCAAATAGCGCGGCTCAGAGTCTACCCTTCCTCCAGATATCCGTGCCATGATTGGCGAAGCTAATAAATTTTATGTTACCAGAGACTTTCAAAAGGCGACGGAATTATTGCAAGAAATCGTTAAACGAAACCCGAACATACACCGCGTTTGGTTTACTCTCGCATTGATACATGATGAGTTAGGGAAACACGAAAGAGCATTACAACTGTTTATGGTTGCCGCACATTTGACGCCTAAAGATGGAGAGTTATGGAAGAGATTGGGATTGCTGTCGAGGTAAGAGAGTAGCCGAGGAAATAGAGTCGGAGGTATGAAAAATAGTATGGCCTTATTTAAAGATTAAACTATTCAAGTTTCTGTTCGGTATGGCATTGTCAGCTTGAGCGAAAAGTTAGAAATACATCTGTAATCTTGTGGATACGACTTTATTTATTAGAAAACACAATCATATGAAGCAGGCCATATATTGCTATTCAAAAGCAATAAAAGCTAACAACAACGATTTGGACGCAGTGTGGGATCGATCCTACCTTTATGCAGAGACTGGGCAATTGAAGAAGGTAATATGTTTTTATATGCATGTATGTTTTTATTTCAACATTCTAACTCACAGCTTTTTCCCACCAAAATGATGCAATTATCAACAGGCGCTCGAAGGTTATATCGCAATTTTAAAACAAATGCCCGACGACATGAACGTGGTTCGCGAGATAAGCAAAATCCATATCATGAACAATGATATTCCACAAGCTATATCTATATTTTCGACTGCTTTCAATTCATATCTTTGTCGACCCTACTCAGAGATTGCTGATGTCGAAGGCTCCTTTGGATATTCGGAAATAAATATGCTGGCCGAGTTATACATGTTACATAATGACTATCAAAAGGCAATAGATGCAATTAAGAAGGCAGTGAGGTGGATTCAAGGACGAGAAAAAGAGACTTGGTGGGACGCTTTCGATGATGATAGAGAATATGAGGAAGGCGAAGGAGAAAGGGGAGTTGGAACAAACAGAAGGAGTGAATTTACAGACGTGAACAGCGTGAGAGGTGGAGGAGGGTCTAATGTACCGTTACCTGCTGAGTTGAGGGTAAAATTGGCACAGTGCAGAATTCTTTTGGATCAAGCAGAGGAAGGGAAGGTAATATCGGGGAAAAAGATGGGTTTCATCTACGTACTGTCGTTGAGTTTTGCTTTCGAACTTGTAGTTTTTGCGCGTTCATTATTTTTTCTCTTGTAGATGCACTTGGAATACTTCTACCAATACGATATAAAGTCTTATATTGACTTGTATCATGATGTTGGCGAGACTTTAATGGATAAGAATTTGTTTGAAGATGCTTTGACTACATACGAAGCCATTTTATCGACCGTGAAGGTATCGTGGTAAACCGATGTTAACCTGAATACAATTGACTCGTAACAAGAATATTCACTCGGTAGACACATGCATTATGCAGGAAAAGTCGCAATGTCCCCAAGCGTGTATTCAAATGGGATTTTGTTACCGAGAATTGGGCGAGTTACGGAATGCGTTGGAGTATTTGAAAGCTGGTGAGCTTCAAACAATATATCTAATTAAAAATTGTTTTTTCAAATACAACGCATCGTTAATTTTGTAACTAATTGGTCAGCTGTTAAGGGTATGCCCAATAACTTGGACGTGAAGTTGGCTTTAGCAGAAGTTTACGAAGATTTACACGAGGATGCAAAAGCATTAGAGCTAGTTAATGAAGGTAACATGAGTTGGAGAACATCCAAACCGAATGAAAGACCTTAGATAGGGTTGAATGGAGTTGTAAACATGACTATATATAGATCTAACATTCTCGACCATCTCACGTTTCATTCGAAGTTCTTACTATTCGCCAACTTCAACGCATATCGACAAACACAAATCCTTCGTCAAGCAACATACAATCTCTACAACCCGCCTCCCCTTCACCTCCCTCACCTGCATCACATCCGTCTACCCCTGATTCTATTTTACCTCTGATTCCGGATGATCAATCTACCCCGCAATCTCGTTCCCAAACGCATCATGAGGAATTGCGTCAGTTTGCCGCCGAAAAACGAGAAGAAACTCGTATTCGCTTCCACCAACTAGACCTGCTCTCATCAAGAATAAATGCAGGTGAAGATAGTACTGCTGAAGAGTATTTAAACACTGCTAGAGCGTTGATGGATGATTGGTCAAATATGAAAGCATTTTATCCGAGAGATTCAAGGTTCAGAGGTTTGGGGAGGAGATGGGGACGAAAGAGAAAGGGTCTGTTCTTGGCTATAGTCCAAGGCGGTGAAGGGGATGAAAATGAGGACGTAGATTTGGATGTGCAGGCCAGGGAGATGGCTAGGCGGCTTAAGAGAAATCTTGGTAAGTCATTGGAAAAGAGAGATCGGTTACAGATATATGTACAACTATTTTAATTGCCGAATGGTTGTTTGACTAAATATATATATCATATCAGCTGGTGAAAATGATGAAAAGACTCCTGTGGACCAGAGTAAAGTAATGTTCCAAGGGGTGCCAGTGGCTGACTGGTTTGACTTCTTTGTTCAGGTATCTTATGACGTGTCATATATGAATGCCTGTCGAACTGCTCATTTATTATCAAAGGTTACTTACTAGACAACACGTGTTTCGTGATAAGTATGCAACTATAGCAGTTAAACACGGTCATGAGAGTGAAGCATGTGATACACTAAGGAGAGCTAGTCTTGCGCGTGTCTTTTATCACGATGAGTCTCGCAAGATTTTTTTTAAATTGTTGTTAATGGGTAAGTATAATGACAACAGACCGTTATATCAACTAAAAATTCGTACTTGCGACCTCGATGTTTACTGTTAATGGCGAACTTATCCAATGCCTATCCGTTCCGTTCGATATTACAGCATGCGCCCTGTACTGGAATAATTTTGAAGTTGTATGTGAATGCGCTCGATTCTTCTGCATGTACAAACAGTTCTATTCGGATACTTATTTGCTTTACACAGCGAGTATGTCAAGGTAAATATAAGATCTCGATATCCGAGAGGTTAGTAAGTTTCTGACAACAAAAAGCCAGCATAATACAGCTTACATGTTCGTCACAGTGGAAATAGCGCAGTCTCGTGCTTTGCATCCACCAACTCGGCAAAGTTCTTTATTCGTCAAGTAAAGGCGTTTGATGAGATTGTTGAACGTGCACGCAATAACAAAGACAAAGAACATGACTCAGATATGGATGTTGATACGGAGCCAATTGCTGTTAATAAGGAACAAAAGTCTAAACCCAAATTTAAGCCGTCTGTGCATAGTGCTGCTTTGCTTCTGTTGCATGGCCATATACTGGTTTCTGCTAGAAGTTATGTTGCTGGAATAGGTGAATATGATCGACGATGCACTTGATGTTATGACGTCGGTAATTATAGCTAACAAATTCACATTGTATTGTTAATTATTCAGCTTATTATATTCGAGCTTATCAATTGTCTCCCAATGATCCCATCATAAGCTTGTGCCTTGGACTTGCCTATCTTCACCGAGCTATGTCAAGGCAGACCGATAATCGACACTGTCAAATATTTCAGGTTATTACTTTTTAATAATTGTTGTTTATGATGTGTTACATTTACAACATTCTATTTAACGGTCATTTTTTATAGGGATTTTCGTATTTATACAACTACTACGAATTAAGAAATAGAAATCAAGAAGCAGAGTTTAATCTTGGCAGAGCACTTCATTCCATAGGTAAATATGAACGGTGAATATGTGCGAAAAGATTAATAAGGTACTTAATTGTATTTATTTGAAATACAGGATTGTATCATTTGGCTATTGTACATTATGAAAGGGCGTTAAAACTTCCATCACTCAGAGAAGAATTGATACAGAAAGGACAGGTACTTTATTTTGCAAATTACCAGAATTGTAGCATTTAAACGCGTCCTTAACTCATCTCTCATTTATTTCTTGCCCCTAGATAACATCTGCTGAAATTGAAGATGAAGACGATCCGACGGATCTTAAGAGGGATATTGCCTACAATATGGCAATGATATACATGGAGAGTGGATCACCGGCACTTGCTCAGCAATTATTGCGACAACATTGTACAATATAATCTGATGCTAACGGAAACTTTATGTAAAGTTGAGCAGAATTGGTCAAGCCGGTAACACAATTGTTACTGGTATGTGAACTTGCTTTAATCGGCTATACTAAGACATGACTTTCCATGCAACTATATAGAAACTATTTGCAAATTTATTTATCGTTACGAATCCAGAAAGTATTGCACAAGAGACAAGTGGGTTTGCAAACAAGTATGTGGCTTACGGAAAATATAGTGCAGAAGTCGTTTTTATTCCAAGCTGGAAAATTCCCGTCCAACTCTTAAAAAAGCTGTGTGAATTACTTTATCATAGGAATAGAACATGCGCATCTGGTATTTTAGTGCATGCTCATTCACTCACATGCATAGTATTCGAGATTTAAAATGCGGGGTTCACAGTTGTCAAACTGTCATTATACAAATTGTCTTAGAAAATAAATCAAAAAATTCTTGACAAGGATAAGGATTACAAATATTAATATTACTATTACAGGGTTTAGAGGTAATTGCGCGATAATGAGGCACTTTTTAACCAAAGCTTATACTCACATATTCATCTCTTTCTTCAAACCATGCCTGTAAGTCTAGCTTGGCTTGTTCAAAAAGTCAGATATTCCATTTGGAATGCGCGGTATCGAAATGTTCGTGCACTTTTCTTTCAGTCGCGAAGCGGTTGTGATTAACAATATTAATATTAAAGCGCGTCAAAAAAGTTCTCCCAAATGTTTGCAATTACATTGTAATTGATTCGAAACTTTGTGCCTTGTCAATGGCAAACTACATCTAATTTTCTCTGCCACCCTTTTGTGTAAGTCTGGTTACAGTTCTTTGGTTAATCTATAGTAGACTGCATACTAATACATCCTCGTTATGTGATAAGTTTTTGTTTTGTTTTTTTTTTGAGTGCGCTTGCTTGCCGAGACAAGACGCTGGTATTCAACTAGAAGTTGACGAATCAAGAAGGTGACATTGGAACAGGTTCAGAAAAATCTTGGGATAGAATTAGTTATTGTTCAATGGCTAGATTGTTAGAATGAGCACGTCAATTTATCCTTTCTAATCTCAAAGATGTAATAAATACTTAACAGGTATCCAATGTACCGCAATAATTATTAAATTTTTAATTTTTGTAGGTCTGGATATAACCAAACCCTGGATGTAAGGAAGAAAATTTATCTGACAATCTTCGTTATAATGTGACGTTTAGCACACCAATATAACAGATTGTGATATTACAACTATTACTGTTCACTCCATAATATTAGTTAGTAAACAGCCCAAATGATCCTCGTACCAATTCTTCATCTATGTATAATAATAAATGGTCTATAAAATGTTTCTACCAACCTAAAAAAAAAAAAACACACGCAGACTCGGTTATAATGAATGCTAGCTTGATGTAATAACTTTCAGATTCTGTTTTCTTACCGCTAAAGTCCCCAAAACTATATCCTGTTGTTTTTGTCTTTTTCTTTTCTTGCTCAACTGGGTAATCTGCTTTTGTGTCTTCAGATTCTAGTGTTCTTTTTGTAGGCGTTGGCTTCAAGTATTTGCCAACACCAGCACTCGCACTGGTACCTGGATCAGTAATCCTGGTCAACTGTGTACCAAACCATGTAGTTGTTTCCTGATATTATGTAAAGTGTCAGTCAAAATAGGACTAGGATAATAATAAATAGTCTGTAATTGAAACAAGCAAACCTTCTCTGACTTTTCTTTGGAAATATTTCTCTTTTCGGCATTCTCCGATTCTAACAGTAGCTTCCTCTCTAGTCGCTTCTCGTATTCTTCATAAGGATCTACGAATACTATCACATCTAGCATCTTAATTTCTTGTAGAGGGTAATCTGCTTCGTCGGTAGGAACCGATTCCATCTTGTCCAGTATATCTTTTCCTCCAACAAGCTTGCCAAATATTGTGTGCTTATTGTCCAGATGAGTGCATGGACGGAATGTTATAAAGCTGCATATTATAATTAATGAATTAGAGGTTCCTCGTTGATTGAATAAGTAGCCAACCGTATATAGTTAATACGAATAACTTACAACTGTGATCCATTCGTGCCTTTGCCTCTATTTGCCATGCTTAGAAGACCACGTTCATTATGCGACAAGTTGCTTTTGAATTCATCGGGAAAATCTTTCTTCCAATATGATTCACCACCCTTACCCGTTCCAGTTGGATCACCCCCTTGAATCTGTAGTAAACATACAATATTTATAATATAATAAAACCACAAAACTATGTCGGTTGAGACACAATCCAAAATAAGGTAGGTGAACTTACCATGAAATTTTTTATTTTTCGATGAAACACAACATTTTTATAATAACCTTGCTTGGACAGCATTACAAAATTATAACACGTCCTTGGGGACTATTGGTGTAAGCACACTTAGTGTTGCACATAATACAATAACGAATCAGCCAACCATACCTTACCTTATCACAAAACAGCTCTATATTCAAGTTACCCATATTAGTAACGATTCGTGCATATCCTTTGGCTTTTATCTCCTTGAACATAAATTCCTCTTTATCAAGCAACATATTCTCATTCTCGGTTACTGGAGTCATGGCTGTGGAAGTAAGGGATGCAGCTGCATATCCTGTAGAATAATGTGCCGCATTATATGGTAGCTTTTTCTTAACTGGCTCGGATTTTTTAGCTTTTGCATCATCTTTGATAGGCTTTTTCTCTTTTTGAATTACAGATTGATCTGAAGAGGCTTCTTTCTTCGAAAGAATAAAAAACGATTAAAATCTTAATCCAAATACTGATGCAGGTCAAAATTTCAAACGAGCTTTACTATTAATGACCGGGGTCTTACCTGTCCTGCAAGTTCCGCCAACACACGTCCAGCAGAACCAGTAGCGCTGACGTTTATATCATTAAGTGGGCCTTGATTTGCATCTGAAATCAATGAGTTATTGAGTTTAATAAAAGTTGGCATCTGAAAGAAGGGGTTCTTTAATTGTATACTCTTGTTTTCGCCGAGAATCTCAACTACCTTTATCTGTTAGCTTCTGGTCATTTTTCACATAATAAAAGTTGGACAAATTACGCGCTTCAAGATTATGAGGGTCCTTGAGCAAATTTTAGTGTTAATAAGAAAAGATATTTGCACACTCAACACTAATCTAATTACCTGAATCACAATTATATCCTCTCGGGTAAAGGGCTCATCAGTCAAGAGATCCTTCCAATTCTTGGCCTTTATATTAAGTCTGTCAATTGCTTCATATGCATATACATTTCCTGTCGTCTTTATTGCGACAATATGCGTATGGTCAGTGAAGACACGAAAAGTTGCAGGACAATGATATTCGTCTGCGAAAAAATAATCGATATCAGTTCCTAATTGAGGGAAAACATCTGCTTAATATCTGCTGCACTGCCAAGTGGCTTACCATTTCCATTTTTATAAAAATTTAATTTAGTCAAAGATTTCAGTTCCAATTTCTCGCCCGTCACTGGATTCTTCCCGTACTTTTTCAAGTACGCATATATATTACTATTAACATGATTTAAAAGTTTGCAAACACGATTATGAGTAGAAAGATATGCAAGATCCGTCCTTTGCTAGGATTATACCTTAGATCAAATATAATGCCTTCAGGAGTACAAGCTGGATGCGAGAACGGCTGTAAAGACAGCGAACAACAGTAAAACGGCAAATATTGGAAATTCTTCTCGGTCTTCTTCCTCGCCTGGATGCCTCCAAATTGCATGCCACCGAACTCGCCCGACCATTCTGAATGACAAATACACTTTTTTAAGCAGGGTAGAATAAAGAAAGATCGCAGACAGAAGCAAGCAGGTACCTGAATGAGTGATATATCTAACAAATAAAAAGAAGACATGTAAGTGACAGATGCACGAAATTGCAAAAAGGATGAATAATCTGAAAGACGCACAATTTGTCAGTCCCTTTACCCATGGTTTTTGCTAGATCCGTTTTTTCTGGGGAGATTTTTGGGGTGGGGTGCACCAATTTTATACTGTTTATAAACAACACGTGGGTCGTGATATCTCGATATCTTTTACTCTTATCTTATCAGCGTCCTATTAGTCTTCAACACCGCGTTATAACAATATGAACACCGACGAAGTTTTGCGCTTGAAAAAATCACTCGAGAAAGCTACTCAAGAAGGGAAGCTTTATGTAAGTTATTTGATATCTCTAATCATTCGAGATATGATTTATACGTGAAGCAGCAGCTCTCCTTGAGATAACCGGTTAGCTGATTAATGGGTTTCTTTCAAAATAGTCAACTCTTGAACTTCTACAGAGGCTAAAGGAAAGCGTAAAACCAACAAAAGAACTATTACGGGTAAGTACCGATGTGTATCATAGTTGTCTTGATCGATGTCAGCTTCTACGTTACTAATAACGGTATCTTGTTTTTCTATATAACAGAAAACTGAAATAGGGCTTCTTGTTAGCAAACAAAAATCACACAAGAACGCAGACATTGCTAGACTCGCGAAAGATATTATCGCAAAATGGAAGAAAGAAATAGGCAGTGAGGGACGCTCATCAGCAGTAGAAAGCAATGGTTCCTCTGATAGAGCTGTCAACTCAAAACTATCCCCCAAGTCAATACCATATAGATCTACTCTAAAAACCAATGTCGATTCAAATTCCCGACCTGCTGCTCCTACTAGTGATGGCGACATAATACGAGCCGAGGACTCTCAGAGTTCTGTTAGCTCTCCAACAACGCCAATACCCGACACGCCGTCGTCAGATAGAGAAGGAGATAGAAATGTTACAACGGACAATATTAGTGGACCATTTGTAGGAGACAGCAGGCGGGATAGATGTATAGAGATATTATACAATGCAATGGCGTTCGATTCATCTAATGGTAAGACATTGGTTATCAACACGCCATTATACTTGATTGAGACAATAGCTAATTTCTGGCTTTGATCGTTTGAAAGATTCCGCAACAATTCTAGAGCGAGCTATCAAAATAGAGAAGACGATATTAGACCAGTTTGGCGGAAAACAAGAAAAAGAATATAGAGACAAACTCCGCAGTCTAATTCTTAATTTAAAAGACAAGAAGAACCCAGAGCTGCGAGCAAGTGTGGTAAGCGGCGAGCTACCTGTAACTAGATTCTGTACCATGTCGAAAGAGGTAAATAATATCAAGTGTGGGCTCACCGTTTATTGTGATTGATTAAGATGCATCTGTTGAGGGGGGGGAAAAATGTAATATTTACAATCATTTTTATTCCTCAGGATATGGCTTCAGAAGAGAAGAAAGCCCGCGACCGTGCTATACGTCAGGTTAAACTATTCGAGTCACGTGGAGCCGGACCCTCGCTGGCTGAAACCGATGCATTTCGTTGTGGCAAGTGCGGTAAGCGTAAATGCACGTACTATCAAATGCAGGTGAGTATGCAAAATTCCTCAATATTAATGAAAAGGCTAGTTCGTTGTTATCTAACCCAGTAATATTATAGACGCGGAGCGCTGATGAACCTATGACGACATTTGTCACTTGCACAATCTGCAACAACCGATGGAAGGTAAATGTGATTTATTTACGATGACTTGAAATTTCAGTTTAATAACTCTGCTGACGTACATGCATCTCTCAGTTTTGTTAAAGCTAGTCTTTACGATAATATAATATTACCATGCGGGCGGTGGTTAGTCTTCCGTTATCTTAATGGCGATGTTCGCCATGTAATGATGGTATTTTTGACGCACTTGAGATAATTCTTTGTTTTATAAATAGTGTCTTTTGTTTTTTATTAATAAGTTTGTTCTATTGAACAAGAATGCAAGATTTATCCGTTGCGCTAGTCTTTGTTTTTTTCTCTCCTTTCTGTCCTTCGTCGTCAGAGGCCTGACGAATGTAATTAGTTGAAATAAAGCGGAGGTATCCGTATTTGCCATGAAAGGGCTATTTGATTACGTCTATTAGATGTTGAATCAATCGCTAATGTCTATTAAGCGCGTATGTAATTTCTGTTGATCAGTTACTTTTTTAGCAAGCAAATCAATATTTAATAATGTCGCGACTGATGCTGAAATCCGGCTGAAGCTGAAACTAACCAACGGAGTTATCAGCCGGATTTCAGCATCAGCTCCCACATTTAACAAGTAATTGATATTAAATAATTTTGTGAACATAATAATAATACTGATGATACCAAGTTTATTTGGAGATACCGATTCTACATATTTGTTGAAATGGCAAGACACAACAGATGTTATAAAATCTTGTGCATTAGCATTACAATTTCAACGATGGAAGAGATTGCCTGGAAGATAAGCCTCGATCCAGAAGGCGAATCGACTTTGGAAAGAATGTCACGTAAATGATAAACTTTCCGAATTGACGATTATCAAATTCATTTGACCTGATTATATCCTTGACTGATATTCGAGAGTTACGATTCACTGGCTGTTAAAGTATCAAAATATATGATATTAATATACATAATTCAGAGTGGCTATGCGTACGCTTGTATTCACACATTAACACTCACTCTATATATCGGGTGGCTTAGATGGCACTAGTATGCATGATGTCACAGCACATTCTCACCACGTTTATTTTCATTCAAGAAAACTCCCATGACAGTTTAAGGGGTGTTTAACTTGCTACTTTTTTGGGAACAAGCACATGGCTCTAGACTATGTAAATATGACAAGGATTGTTAGGCATTGAAATTATGCATATATAATTACAGTATTATACTAAACGATTCAATCTCTGTTATATATTCATGTTATTACGAGTTATACCAGTGCATCGTAATCAGCGTAAGTATTGAGTATCATGGAGTATTAGCGGTATAATGTGATCGTTGAGTACCATAAAAGTATCAATTCAAATTAATTCCTTAAAAGTATCGTGAGGTATTCGCAGGGTATCGTGAAGTATCGTAGGGGTATCGTAGGGGTATCGTGAAGTATCGTAGGGGTATCGTGAAGTATCGTAGGGGTATCGTGAAGTATCGTAGGGGTATCGTAGGAGTATCGTAGGGGTATCGTAGGAGTATCGTCAGGTATCGTGACTACTGTATATTAAGGTTATTTTAGGTGTAAATAACGGTTGATAAGCTGTCCAACTGTTTAAACCTATTTTTGCCAAATTAAGTCGTTCTAAAAAACAAAGTCTGGTATTAATAGCTAATATCATAACACGAAAGTGAATGTAGCTTTCTTTTTAGGTGAACCTAATTTTACAAACAAATACGTTTTTACATATTAGTATAATACAGATAACCGATTTTTGTATATAAATAATTGTCCCGCATATTTTTGCCGGTGCATTTAGTACATGTTGGCTTATATTCTGATTAAATGTCTGTTCTAACGGAATATAGAATACGAAACATAAACGTGTTATACCTATCAAATTTGTTGCTTGTGGGATCGATAAGACTGAAATCAATTCCGCAGTTACGACGAAATTCACAAAAAGCATTCCGAATTTTGTAACTGAAACTAGTAGACGCGATTATTGTATGTGTAAAGAGCGTAAATTTTGTCTCAAATGGCGTGTTGAGGATGCCGATTTATGTCTAACCACATATTCAAATATAGTCATTCGAAAAGATCTTTATTCAATCTCTTAATTCCATCGGATACCATGCTTAGTGTGCCATTGAGACCTTTTCTTCATCGAAAATCTAATCAATTTGTTCGCGTACTGTAAATGAACTTTACGGGTACTAAGATAAAAGACCTTACTTACATATTGCAGTATTGATCAGAAAGTGAACATGAACATTCACAATAGTTAACTTAATCTCTAATCATAAAATGCTTATCTACGTGTTATCAATTTCTCCAACTTAGTCTTATCCAGGTATTTTTTCAGGGGATGCTCACCGGACAAAGCTTGTATTTTGATATTGTTGTTTGTTTTTTTCAATTACCATTTACATCATTTTAAAAGCTCTTACACGTATTCTCAAGAACGTTTTTTTTTTTTTTTAATGTCAACTTGTATTTAATGAGAAACAACCGATGTCCAAATTGTGGATTGACATAAAATTTTATATCTGACCACTAAAAAATTTATATTGTTTACTAATGTTAATATCTAATTGACAAACCATTATTGGCAATGCATCCTTTAATTCTTCTGGGCATACTTCAAATTTTGTGAATGTTTAAGACAACTTATTAATCTTTGACCAAGTTTACTTTGCAATGCCCAAGTAGATTAAGATCTGGTAATTAAAAAGGCCAATCTTTATAAAAATGACATATTTCTCAAACATTTATTTTTGCTGCACGTGTGGTTAGTTCACATTTTTTTAAAAACAATTATCGCCTTATATTAAATTTATCATAATACAAATTTTACTAATACAAAATTTTGTATTAATAAGCGACCACCTTGAGAACAAGAGCTTTAAATAATATAAAAACGGTAATTGTAATGTTTGAGAGAAATATAACAGGACGGATGTTAATTTCATAATATTTGACGTTAATTTTATTTTCAAACTTTTGTCATCATAAAAACTCATCAAATGCAAGTTTAACATTCTTGAAAACAAAATCTTTCGAATAATGCAAAAATGAATCTTGGAAAAAATTTTTTAGTGCAAACTTGCGCCTAGTAAGTGTATTTGCTTTTTCTTCTTCCTAACGAGAATTATGCGTAAGCTCGTTGATATATGACACATAGCATTGGACTGCATGATTTAACTTTGCTACATTATAGATACATCTAGAAGGATCCTTTCTGATGTCTGATAAATTTCCATTTTTGAAAACCAAAACACTGCTGAACAAGTAGATGTTAATGCATTGTATATTCCTGCTTTGGTAGTTGAATTTTGTCAAAAAGCTGCCAAACAAGGAAATGCCAATGCACAATATAATCTTGCTGTATTTTATACAAATGGAACTGGAATAGAAAAAAAAATGAACAGAAGGCAGTTGAATTATATCACAAAGCTGCTGAACGAGGACATGTCAATGCACGTACAGTGTGTAAAGAAATTATTGGCAAAAAAATCGCGTACACTTAAAATTGCGTAACTTTCCCAAAAATAAACCAAATCGCGTACACTAAAAATTGCGTACACTAAAAATCGTGTAACTTTCCCAAAACTAAACCAAATCGCGTAAACTGGTTTTTGTTTTGATCACAAAAATCTGCTTTCCATTTTTCATTAAATAGTGTACTGTCTTTTAGAAGTCATTTTCTAAGCTCTAATCTAAAAAGCCAGCGAGAAACTATATTACATTTTTAAAACATAGGAGTTCGTTCAGCCAAAGATATTCACAAAGCAACAAGGATTCCAACGCGGACTATCTATAATAACTTAAAAAGTTGGAGAAATTTGGCAGTATAAATCATAAAAAAAGAGCCGGTCGACTGAAAACAATGTTGCACGGTACATCGGTCAGCATCTTTTTGAGGTAAAGTCGGAAACACGCGGGGAATTATTCGCTTGCGACGACGCAGTCAGATTACCAATCGTTTTATCGCCACCACCGAAGTCAGGGCCGGGGTTCTGACGGGTAGGGTCATTGATCGGACTTCGTTCATGAAGGATTTAATCCTTACACATTTGGAAATGCTTCGTCGCATAATGCAAAAACCATTCAAAATGCCAGAATTTATATCATTAATTTATTGAGAGAGCACGTTCGACAGCCGAACAGAGCGCAGCTGGGCTTTGACAACTCCAGGCTGGGCTGTCACATCCAACGATGAATACTTCCCTCACAATATTAGGCAAGTTGATTGTGCATCAGCGACCAAAAGTGGGTCTTCAAGAAAGATCGATTACTGAAGTTTGAACAAACCATTAAGCTTTTCCTAAGCAATTATGACAATAATTTTGAGGCAAAGGATGTTGTGAAAGAAATCCAAAACAGCATCAATATTGGTTGTAATCTCTCTCCGAACGTTGTAATTTTTACAGCCTGGAGACAATTAAGAGCAAAAGGAAACGCGGACGAAATAGGATTTGGTCGAGTTACTCAAACCGTAACGGGCTTTCGCGGAATCACTTTTAGCCAAAAAAAAGGTTAGCCGTTTAGGAACTTGCACTGGCGGCTTCAACAGGATAACGAATAAGAGCTGAGGAAAAGTCAATCCTGATAATGCGTCTAGCGGTTTCTTTCTCAATCTGAAGATATTGTTCCAAATTCCATTCAAACATTTGGGGGAGGACTGCGTGTCTGCACTGCGAATTTGTTGAGAAGTTTTAGTATCAAAGCAAGCAATGGGTCTTTGGATCGAAAATGCTGTTCGCGACATACCAGCCGCCTTGCTCAATCATTTCTCAGTGAAAATGTTCCAATGCTTATGGACTGGCCAGCCAACAGTCTGGATTGAATCCAATAGAAAATCTTTGGAATATTGTTAAAAAAAAAACCGTTGAAAAGAGAATGCCACAAACTCAGCAAGATTTAAGGTAGAGGAATGGAATGCTATTCCAGAAACCATGTTAATTAATAATTTAGTACAATCGATGAAGCGCAGATGTGAGTTAGTTATTGAAAGCAATGGAGAAAGGATAAATCTACTACATCTTAGCTATCAAATGAGTATTAACTATGTTGATTGTTATGGTCGTTGTTACTCAGTGATCAAATATGTACGTGTAATTGCCAATAATGATAC